CTTCAGAGTTTTGCCGCCGGAGCGATTCGCAAAATAATTGCTAGTTGTATCTTCTGATGGGTTGCAAAAAGGGCGCCTTCCAGAAAGCTCTAGTTTTCTAATACATAGATGCTCGTACCATTTGTAAGGTAATTGGCAGAATGAAGGCTGTCATCACACTCTCGCAGACGTGAAGACCAAGGATGACAACCTTTAGGGGAATTTTTTCAGCTGGCGGTGGAGTTTAGCTAAATTTGCGCGATATTATATTGCCATTGCTCCTTGCTTTCGGGAATTTTGTTTTCTTAAAAGTCGCCACCGTGAGAAGAAAACGAGCTATTTTTCTAAATGAAGTCAATAACAACAAATCTGGCTGAGAGTCAATTCAGAATAATTCTATCCATTGTCTAGTATCATACTGTGAAAATGGACTTGGGAGTGGGGGACACTCCACTGTGTACTTAACACGTTGACGACAGCGTGACGCGGTAACGCGTCCCACTTTGCGCACCTCGTGGGACATTGTGACGCGGTAACGCGTCCCACCCAAGTCATCCCTTTTTTGCGACTTATTCCTAAGGTCTTTGTACTCATTCTATAGGTCATACATTAGCATACTTAAAAACCACACAGAAAGGCCAAATATTCTTTAGTTTGGCAGACGTTTTCCAGACCTTACGGATATGTCTGTTCAATTCATTCCTCGTCTTCTTTTTGCAGATGCTTGCCCTGTTTATATGTTTTTTGTAAGCCACTTTCTATATTTTTAACTTTTCCGCTGAAGCTTATGAGGCGACAGTCACGCGGTCGCAGTCATTAAACTCCTCCTCACAGTGTGAGGTCATCCGATTAATAATCTGGCTTAGAATTAAAGTCAAATGTTTAACCCATGCTTAAAGGAAGCGATTACGATAGATCTCACAGGGGTTTAGAGGGGACGTGAGGGTCTCAATAGTACGCCAATGGCGAAAAAAAAAACAAAGAAAATAAAAGGATAAAGCATTTGCCGTTGATCAATCCCTTTTTGGGATGCGGCACGCATTCTACTTCCATTTGTACATTCGTAGTGGCGTTTGAATGCGATGTGGCCTATACAATGACTTGCGGGGGCCAGCCGATGTACAAGTCAGTGTTTTTATCCTCCCAGACAAGTCTGGTACCAATTAACCGACCCCGGAGGGATGGAAGGCTTGGTTGGCCCGGGCGACTCACGACCCAGGATTTGATCCCCGGACCGCTCGCGTGGTAAGCGTGCCACTTGCCACTACACCACTTCCGCCCCAAAAAGCAAAGAAATCCGTCAAAAATAAGCAAAATAGTACCCCGACGTTGTTCGGACGTGTTAACCCCGATAGCACCATTGCCATCATGCCAACAAGCATAGTGTTTTGATTGATAAGGCAATACGTGGGCAAGTTGGAAGATACAGCCGCTAGAAGGGAAATGATCATCCAAAATGAAAAGCCAACAGCAAACAGTCCATCCAGATCATCAACAAAACTAGTGGGCGTTACGTCACTGGGGCGGGCGTCACGCGGGTCCTGCTCAGCAACCACAGCACCTTCGCCGTGGGAGGCCACACATCGCTTCCTTGGCAGCCAAGTAATTGCTCCGTGTGGCGCAGGTTCTCCCCCGATGCGAAAATTCCTTATCGTAATCGCTTCCTTTAAAAACGAATTCACATCTTAGCACTTTTCGCCTCGTGTCAGTTTGGGCTGAAACATCTTTCACCTGTGACTTGTTATCCAAACTCCCTGAACAGGCCAAACGCGCATTCAAATGAAGCTGGATTGTCAAATCGAAGTCGATTACCCTATTTTCCGGTGTATAAGCCCCCGCTAGTATCATGTAAAAACACCTCCACTGGTGTAGTGTACTTGAGTACATCTAGAGTCAACCGTAACGCATGCCCATAGGGGTAATTCGATATGCTCGAATACGAAAACGACGAGACTTTCCAGTTCTTAGCCGTTGGCCGCATGCTGGCGCCAGTCTGTGCGCCAGGCCGAGCGCCTCGTCGTCCCGGGGGCGCGCGGCGGCGCGCCCCCCCGCGGCGCCGAGGGCCTCGCCGCCCGCGGCCGCGGGGTAAGCACGCAATGCGCAGGAGCGGGCGTCAGTTGTGGCGTCACCTTGTCACGACCCTTGTTTTCGCCAAAATCGGTGTAAACTTCAGTATAGGGGTTATTTGGGACCCTGATTACGAATATGACATTCGTTTTTGGCGTTAACGTTGTTTAGTGCACATGTCTCGGTTGGAGAGCGCAGACGAGCAGAAAATAGGCGTCAAACAGCGCCAGCGCCTATAATGAATGTCATATTCGTAATCAGGGTCCCAAATAACCCCTATACTGAAGTTTACACCGATTTTGACGAAAACAAGGGTCGTGACAAGGTGGCGCCAACTGGCGCCAGATGGCGCCAGCGCTGAAAATGAAAGTCATTTTCGTGATCAGGGCATCGACTTACCTCTATAGGCAAATTTGCGGTGGTTTCTAAGGTGTACAAAGTTACACTGCACGAGCGGGGGTGGTTTTACGTGAAATCGGCGCGGGCTTATACACCGGAAATTAGGGTAGGTGGCAGCGTCCCAGAAGTGATTGACCAGCGCAACTTGGAGTAATTACTCCTAATTTCGTTTACACTGGCTTCGAAATAACCGAAGAAGTCAAACTTCCACACCTCCTTCAAAAGAGCAAAGTTCTCTTGGGAACGGTAGTCTTCGTTATATCTCAAAAGCATTAAAGCTTACCCGGCTGTCATTTTCTGTCGCTCTTCACAAAATTCGGGGTGATGTGGCCTAATTTGTAGCTGACATACCGCATTTGTGTTCATTAATTTTCTATGGGAGATTAGCACTCGTTTTTCTTCAGCCAAGATTCTTACAAATCTCTTTAGCACAGAAATCGTTCCGCAAGTGGAACTTGATACAACACCTCGTCTGACTACCAAAAAGTGCCGACCGAAGAGTGCCGCTCCCATCGATCAGCTCTCCATGATTTTCACGAATTGTTGAGATCATTGCGGCTTTCAGTTGGCTGGATTGAACAGGGTTTCAATGGCAGTCGTTGTACCT